GGGGACGGGCGTGAGTCGGCTCTTGATCACGCGGCCCGTCGCTGCGGCGGCGGCACCCCCCTCGACGAGCGAGCTGCGCATGGACGACTCCTGCGGCTGCTCGCGGAAGGGCGCGGTCGCGGACGGAAGGGTGTCGGCGCGGTGCACGGGCGGGGTGCGGTACGGCGAGCCCGCGGGCGTGGAGGGCGCGGTGGTGGCGCCTGGTGCGGCATGCTGGAGCTGCTGCTCGAGGGTTCCGCGCCGCTCGACACGCTTCATCTTTTTTCGACATCTGGGGAAGCGGGTTAGTAAGGGTACAGAGGCGGACAGGATGAGAAGGAAGGGGTAGCTGCGAGACGACAAGCGGGATGTCATAGGAGGAGCACGGCAGCTGGGCGTGCATCCAGGACCGTGATCTAGGCGCCGCCAAGCCTCGTCATTGTCGCTCGCCTTCCCCGCCAGGGAGTAGTGGCACGACGACGAGCGCCGTCAAAGCCACCCGGGCGACAACGAGCGCCCTAGACGTCTCTCCCCACTCCCGATGACCCGCCTGCCCATCTCAAAACAAAACCCCCACTCACCGATCACACACCGTCCCCGGCCCCAGCGGCCCCGGGCCCCACTTCTCCACGCACTTGCCCTCCTGTGCACATTCGTCAGTACGTCGGATCGTAGAGGAGAGGATAACGAATAGGAAGCGGGAGGAGGACGAGAGCGCGTCCTCTCGTGGGGGGTCGACGCCCTCGCGGGCATCGTGTTCGTCACGAGAGAGGTATCCGCCCTTGACGAGAGAGACTGGACGGGGGTGAGCATCGCCGCCCTTACGCACGCACCCCCATCCCGAAGATACATCATCCCGTCAAAGATACACCCGTCGACGACGCATCAGTCAGCATCGACACTGCATCAGAAAGACTGATACCCCACGCCCATCGAGGATGCATCTATCAATGACTGTCGTCGTCGATGTAGTCTATCGCCGACGTCGTATCACAGCATCGACGATACGTCGTATCAGAACAGACTCTCTCCCTCACACCAAAACAGATAATCAAGAACACCACGAACCTTGTACCTTCCCGCCATCCCACACTGCCGGCAGATGCGCTGGTTGGCCGCGTTGGTCGCGGGGAAGGGCTGTGCGGGGAGGCCTGTGTGTACGAGGGTCAGCGCTCAGGCGATGAGATGAAGACGAAGGAGAAGAGAGTGCGAGTGCGGGCATGCATATCCACATCGACGGAATATACGCCCGCGCAAAAGGCGCGAGCGATGCACGCGCCAAAAGCGAGAGAAGCGCGAGAAGGAAACGCCCACTCACCAGCAACAGCAGCGGCATTCGCCACCACCGTCGGCACCGCGCTCGCGCTCGAGGGGTACGCCGGGAACGCCTGTGCTGGGTTTGGCTGCGCAGATGCGTGCAGTTCTGCATAGAGTGGTCAGCGTCGAGTCGCAAGGCAAAACAGAAAGATACTCACCCTTCCCCTTCCCCCCCTTCCCCACATACCCCGCCTCCCTCCCGCCATTACCAGCACCCGCAGCCGCGCCCGCACCAGCCGCGCCCCTCCCCCACTCCGGGCTCCTTCCCGCCCCCGCCCCATGCATCCTCGGACTCCCATTCGTGCTCGCAAGCAACATCTCCTCCAAATCATCGCTCGCCGTGCTCGGCGAGCGCCGATCGTCCAGCGTCCCCCCGCGGCTCGGCGCCCCGCGCGCGCCGTCTCCACCCCCGCCGTCGTGCCTCCCACCCCCGCCGCCGTCGTGTCTTCCGCCCCGCACATCTCCGTCGTGTCTTCCCTCGTGTCGCCCGCTCTCGTGGTGCCGCGCCCCCTCGTGCCGCGAGGAGTCTCGGCGCACCTGGCTCGTGGCCACGCGAAGAAGGAGGAGGCGTCGATGCTCCCCTGCCGCGCGCCGCTGTTTTGTATTTGCTGGTTGTTGGGGTAGCGCGCGGACGAGGCGTAGTGCGGGTGTTGTTGGGGGTGGTACTGCATAGGAAGAGGGTCAGCATCGATGGGTAGAGGGCGAAAGTAGAAGTAAAAGTAAAAGTAAAAGAATGAATGAAAGGAAATAAGAACGAAAAGCGCACGCTGGCGCAGACGGACACCGACGTCAGGTCGGGGGACACATCGCAGCACAACAGGCGCTCCCGTGATGAAAAGAAGAAGAGAAATACACACCTCCCAATCGTCCCCCGTCTTTGCGCGCTTGCTGGGCGGATAGTAGCCTGCTCCCCCGGTGGTGTTTGGGTTTGCAGGGACGCCCGGGCCCGCATGCGCATTCGGGGCAGAGGAAGATGAGGCGGCTGCGGCGACGTCGAGCGACTCGGCGCGTGGGCGGATGCGGCCTGCGGGGAGGGGGAGTTAGATGAGGGAAGAACGAGTGGGACATAGGAAGGGATAAAGGAGGAGATGCGGTGGGAGCAGGACATGAGAACGAGATGGAAAAAAAAGTACGAGGACACGGACGAAACAGACAAGAAAAAGCGACTCACCAACCCCACTCGGCGCCGGCGGTAGCGGCAACGGCAGGCGCCCAAACGTCCCGCGTCTTCCTGGTGCGCCTATCATGCTGCTCCCGCCGATCCCGCCGCCTCCACCCCCCACACCGTGCGCCCCGTTCGGCGGCGGGCCCATCGTGTATAAGCCGCCGCCATAAGAATGGGGTGGCAGCAGCAGAAGACGACGAAGAGGCGTGCCGCTCCCAATACCTTCCCTCGTGCCTCTCCCGCCCGTCGTACCTCTCCCTGCCCCTCCCGCCCCTCGTACCCATATCTCTCAGCCCCATATCTCTCGGCAGCAGCATCAAGCGCAGGTACGTCCAACGCCGGCATCGGCACATCGACCAGGACGACTCTCCCCCCGCCCTCCCGCACAACCCTTGCGAACCCCGCCCTTGCATCCGCCGCGCGCGCGTCCACGAGCTGCATGTACGCGTTGAGCTGCGTAAAGTTACTCTGGATCGCGAGGAGGCGCGCGTGGGACTCGTCGCGGGCCTCTTCGGCGGCGAGGGTGCGGGTGGTGAGGGAGGAGAGGAGGGCGAGGGTTGCGGGGGGGAGGGTTGGCGCGGTGGGCGCGGTGGTGGTGGTGGTCGTCGTGGTGGGTGCAGTGGCATCGACAGCCCCCCGCGTCGCCCTCCTGCCGGGGCATCCCCCAACGTCGCAGCAACAGCGCCATACGCACTCACGAGCCTTTCCGCCTTGTCAGCCCTGCGCCTTGCGACTGCGAGCTCTGCGCGCAGTGCCTCGACGTCGGCGAGCGCGGAGGCGAGGAGCGCGGCGATGGACGCAGGCGGTGCTTGGTATTAGCGGCGGCGGGTGCGGGCGCGGCGTCGGCGGTGGTGTCGTTCGTCGTAGTCGTATCCTTGGTCGGAGTATCTGTGGGTGGCGTCGTCTCCTTGGGTGCTGTGGGTGTTTCTGGAGGCGCCGGCGGTGGCGCAGGCGCGACGTCGGGCATGGCCGTGTCGGTCGGTTCGGGCATCGTTGGAGGGTGGCTGTGATCGATGCGGTGGACGTAGTCGGTGGCGAAAAAGGGCGGGTGGGCGGCGCGATGGATGTGGTAGGAAGGGAACAGCAACTAGGCGGTGAAAAATGGAAATGGAAGGAAGGAAGGCTTGGAAGGGAAGCGCTCGCGTCGGCGCGGCGGCGGCGTCGGCTAGCTAATATTCCTAACGTCACCACCCCCTCGGGTAATCACAAGCCCGGGCGATGTCGACCGACGTGGCAACTACAAACAACTCCTGTGTCGGGGTTAGGCGGGGTGTCCTCCTATAGCGGGGGGAGAAGGGAGGGCGAAACTTGATTCAGGGAAGCAGCCCCGCGCGCCTTATGCCAGCCTCGCTTTGTTTTGTTTGGCCCGCGCAGCGCTTTGCTTACAGAGCTTCTTGCACCCCTGCCGTGCGACGTGCTGTTGTCCATCGAATCCGATACCAACATCTTCTTCGCGCCGCGCGGCGTGATGGGGGGGCAAAATGGCGCCGTGATGCAAGTAGGGGTTTCCACATGCCGTTACTTCGCGGCGCAACGTGGGTGATGGCGCGGGGCTGAACGGAGATAAAGCGCACACTCCCCGGGGTCTTGCACGCGCATCAATCACGCGGCTGCGGAGTTACGTGTAGCAGGAGGTCCAGAGCACGGCGCAGACACGCCGACCGCCGAACCTCCGACGCATGTGCGGCAGATGACTCACGCGGCGAACTGCCCCCCCGCCAAAAACCCGCTTTTTTAGCGAAACAAAAACCCGGACAGACGGAGTGCCGATCGCACAAGACAAAGGACCGCCGCTTTGGGCATAAGAACAAGCTTTTAATTTGAAAAACAACAGAACAACGTCGGCGCCTGCCGGAGCAACTGCGACAACACGCGCCCTGCTTTTGGAATAACCTGGTGTGGCGCCGACGGCCGTTCGGGAATTTAATACGTCGACGGTGGACGCGCGGCGGCCCTCGGGTTATGCCGACGTAGGCGCGCGCGAACCTGTGGCACGCGTGCCCTTGTTCAGCACGCGGACCTGGCGTTGAATTTAATACGTCGTAGGCGCGCGCGCGAGCGTGTGCACCTCAACACACAGGCGTTGTAAGCGCGTGCGACGTCGCATTGCACTAAGCGCGCGCTGCGCATGCCAGCGGAAACTCCAACTAAAGCCGACGCAGGGCGTTGTACCCTTGTACTACTAAGCGCGCGCCGCTTACCCGCCGCGTACAGACGCCGTCGCGGCGATCACGTCCCAATCCACAATCGGCGACCTGCAAGCTGCCCGCGCGTCGCATGATCACTCTTCCCCTCCAACCCGCATCTTTGCCGCATCCATGGTGCATCGTGCAAAGTGCAAGCTGTCGTCCCGCGTGGGCCCGCTGTGTGTGGGAATTTCATTTTGGAGGTGGAGTGGACGGAGCCTCTAAAATTTTCACGTTGGTAAAGATCGCAGTGTCGTCAACGAAGCAACTCAAAAATATATTCCCTCGCCAACTCCGCCGGTCCCAGCGATAGAATGCAGCGCATAAATCTCGCCTAAGAAACAAGGTAGGAAGCGTCGGTGGTGCACGGTGCATGCAGTCCTTCTGTGCGCCGCATACGAGTATTCATACGTGAGACTGATTGGGGTTCGACTCCCCGCCGACGCCTGGTTTCCATTTTTTGCTCCCACTCCAACTCCGTTTTCATTTAGAATCAGATACCGAGGTCCGCGCGGGTGCAACGCATGAATATGTATGACCTTTGGCTAACTTGGCCAGAATAAATCCGGGATACAAATAAGGGTAGAAAGCGTCGGTGGTGCACGGTGCACACGGTCCTTCTGTGACGAAAGAAAAAACGGTGAGACTGACCGAGGTTCGACTCCCCGCTGACGCATTGAGGGTAGAAATGATTGCTTTTTTTCTGCGTTCCTTTGATCCTTTTATTCCTCGTGTGCAAGCTCACAAAGGAAAAAAGACATTATTCATGAGATATAAACTGGGTACTGCATTTTTCCATCGTCCATATACGTCTGCTCAAATTTAAATCGAGAAATTATTCGTCCCCAAATCAAGCGCATACATTCACGATCACAAGAAGAGAATCAAGCGTCGGTGGTGCACGGTGCATGCAGTCCTTATGTGCGCCGCATACAAAGATGGGAGACTGACTGGGGTTCGACTCCCCCCGACACACTTAGGGGAAACAGTTGGTTTTTTTTTCTTCTTCGCTGTATTCGTTTGATCTATTCGTTCCTCCTGTACAAGCTCACGAAGTAAAAGGCATGACGAACGGAGTATATGAACTGCGTATTGCATTTTCCCTCCGTCCATATACGCCTGTTCAAATTCAAATCGAGAAATTATTCGTCCCGAAATCAAGCGCATACATTCACGACCACAAGAAGGGAATCAAGCGTCGGTGGTGCACGGTGCACGCAGTCCTCTGTCCAGATGACGACAAGAAAAGTGTGAGGCGGACCGGGGTTCGACTCCCCGCCGACGCATTGAGATTGAAAGTAATTGCTTTTTTTCTGCGTTGCTCCTTCATCGTGGAACCGAATATTAGGTATTGCAGTTCTGTTTTTTCCCCCTCCACCATATTATAATCACTTGCGCTTCCATTAATATTGGGAGCGCGAGTGATTATAATTAATGTTATTTCATTTTCTAGTGGAATCAAGCGTATAAATTACCTATTTTAAAGAGGGGAAAAAACGTCAGTGGTGCACAGCGCACACGATTGAGAGGTGAGACTGACCGGGGTTAGACTCCCTGCCGATGCATCTGAATCCTGAATTGCACTTTTGCCTGCCACTCTTCCATTTTTCGCTTAAATTCAGGCACGCATGCCTCGCTACGCGAGACATATGCCTATGTACCGACTAACTTCTACTCGCCCATGTTTGGCTAATAATGCAGAATATGTTCCTCAGCCGAGGCGCAGAATTTTCTTCCTGACCTCGGCTCGAATTGTGCTGTATAAATTAAGCCTACAAAATAAAGCAGAATGCGTCGGTGGCGCACGGCGAACATAGTCCATTCATTCCAACAGACAGAGTCTTACAAAAAGTATACGACTGCACGGGGTTCGACTCCCCGCCGACGCGTACCACCACCGGCTCCATTTTTTGAAACGCTTTCTGAACCGCATTATTTCATTTCTGTCCTGAAACTTGAAGCTTGAAGATGCAAGTCAACAGTTTGGCTCCTGTGTTGCCAGAGACTATTTTACATTTAATTCTAGTGCCACCGGAATTTAATTGAAGCAATGCAGGCCCTCGGATTTATCATTCTGCCCGAATTTCGTTCCCGACTTTGGTCGAACACACAGGCGCCGCATTTTGCAAAAACGAACAAATGCCGCATTTTGGACGAGCGCTGCCTTTTTTTAACAAATGGCAATTGTAACAAGCGCCTATGCGCCCCCAAACTCAAAGCGGGCTAGTGTGGCGGTGGGGAAATTAATACGTCGACGGCGGACGTGCGGCGGCCCTTGGAAAACGCCGTCGTAGGCGCGCACGCGTCGTCAGCGAGTAGACCTTAACAGCAGGCACATCGCATTGTACTAAGCGCGCACTGCGGACCTCGACGCAGAAGTCTAAATAAAGCCGACGTACGCGCGCGGGCTTTGTACCTTGTAAGTGCGCGCCGCTTCTCCGCCGCGTATGTACATGGAAGATGCCGCGCGGGGATCACGTCCAATCTAATCCACATGTGCGACCTGCAAACTGCCCGCACGTCGATCACACATCCTCCATCCCGCATCTTTGCCGCATCCGTTGCATCGTGCAAGCTGTCGTCGCGGGCGGGCATCCCGCTGTGTGTGGGAATTTTACTTGAATTCTGTGACGGAGCATCTACAATTTTTACGTTCAGCAGGGGTGGTAAGGATCGCAGTGTTTCAATGAAGAACTGAAAAAAAATTCCCGAAATCAAGCGCATAAAGTAAAGCCCCAGAAGAACGGTGGGAAGCGTCGGTAGTGCACGGTGCAGATCCAGGGGCATTGGAACCCAAGGATGCACAACACAGTGGAGATTCACAAGTAGGCCATGGGCAGAGACTATTAGGAAATATGAGAATATGATTCCGGCACGTCCTTCTGTGCCCCCGTATTATTCACACGTGAGAGTGATTAGTTCGACTCCCCGCCGACACATTTTCCCCCGATGGTGATAAGAGAAAGAGGAGAGTCAACTTTTTGGCGTAAAAAAATGGCGTGGCCCGGCGCCAATTGGCTTTTTTGGCGTGGGCGTGGGCGTTTGGTGGGACAAGCCGATTTGCTCACGCCTATCAAAGCCCACGCCAATTTGTCGGCATGGCTCGCCAAGATCAATTTGATCCGGAGAGCGAAATAAAAGCATGTAGCCAGGATTATACCTCTGGAGGCACCTTCTAAAGGTTTATAGCATCCTGTTACTTGAAGATGCACGAGCTCAAAGCACTAATCCTGTGGTAAATTGCATATTTGTCCTAATTTGACATTCCACCGGCGCAGAATCCACTGAGTCACTGGCTTGTCTTGAGATGTGAGGAGTAGGGATATTCAATAGGCACTGTATACAATGGGAGAGAGAAAACACAATAATTGTTCGTGCTATGTCAAAAGATAGCTACGTATGAGCTATAATTGGCGCCATGCCGCTCCTTTTCGTGGAAAATTAGAATATACCTCCCGTTGCCAGTCAACGTAATCCAAGACCGTGCATTTGGAGTGCTTTAACTTGCTGAGTGTCCTCTGCTTGGGTTTCAGGACACTTGGCATAGATTTAAAACTCAATTCAAACTCCGAAGTGCGCAAGCCATTTTGTCCTGATGGCATCAACGCCCAACTTGGCCCACCAACGTCAATTTCAATATTTCACTATAATAAAAAGCTGCCATTCCCCCAAATTGTATGTTACCAGTCTCTAATGAATACCTCCTGTGAACATTAAGGGCTGGTATCATCATTTCCATGGTTTTGAGACTCAACTTTTTGGTTTGCAAAACGCAACAAACAGCTTGCGCCCGCGCCAATTAGCTTGCCCACACGAAAAATCCATTGGGCACGGGCATGTGACGGTTTGGCGGGACAAGCCAATTTGCTCACCCCCGTCAAAGCCCATGCCGCTGTATCGGCTTGGCCCGCCAGCATCAAGTTTGACAATTAGCTGTGGGGAGTTCTGCCATGCCCCCAAATTGTGTTACAGAATGTCTGGGTGCAACCTTCGGCGAATACTACGGAACTAGCACCACTATCTCGGTCATAATTGAATATTTTCATGAGAACTGAAATGTAAAGCCCACCCAAGCCGATATCAGTGGCTCTTTCGCCTCAAACCTGTCTCAGGTGTCTGAGATTCCGGTCTGTCAAAAGAGTACCCAACAGGCTCAAATATTTAGTGCTTCTCAACGAGTTTAATACGCGTTCGCAGAGCCGCATTTGAGGCATATAGGGAGAGTCTTACGGTGCGTAGAATTCATAACCTGATTATATTCCTGCTTTGCAATTTACATTCGGCCAATGTTCAGGATCCTAGGCATTACGGAGTTCAAACACACCCGTGAAAGATTAACAGTTTCTGGATGTAAGTCAATTTACTGCAGTTCAAATTTACCTCGCGCAGTGCGTTGATATGTCTTGAGACTGCGCAACCAAATGCAATATACTTTTCAACTACTCAAGAGACAGGCGCGAATGTCGGCTTTTGCTGAAATTTAACCGGCTCAGTTTAGGTCGCTCGGCACACAAAGTTTACAAGTCTCCATGTCAGTCAATGCACTGACTTCATAATAGAGAGTTTGCACAGCAGCCACTCAAGCCATTCTGATCGCTGTTTTGCATTGCGCAAAATGATGGCTTGTGGCTTCGATGGCTTGGGTATCTACACTTGTTGTTGGTGCAATTCAGTCACTTACGAGTCATAAACACCATGGTCGGGTGCTAGGGCCCTCCACCACTGCCTACAGGCCGTTGGAGCCCAGCCACAAAACATTTCAATGTACACTTTATGCCGACCTACGCAGGACTGTATTTGGTGCGCATTCTGAAAAACATGCGTGGGAACGCTTGGGTCTCCGTGTGATTGATGGCAATCTCAAACTGCGCATCGGCCTGCCCTGGTGCTCCCAGCGGGGTTGTCAAATAGAAAAACCATGGGGTTCCTCTGATTGCAGGGGTTTCTATTGGAAACCAGGTTTCCAAATAGAATTATCCCTCTAGCTGAAGTAAGACCAGAGTATAGACGAGATAGAATCTACTGTACAGGATTCTATCTACTGTCTTATATCCTACAATCAGTTTCCACGTCACTGAAATCGATCGTCCTCCTATTTGCCCGTATCGTAGTATCCCTCCTATATGCCTTCTCCATATTAGTTGTGCTCGACAACCGTTGTTGTGAGATGGATATATTTTGGGGTTCTGCCCAAAATATATCCCGCAATTGAAAAAAGGATAGGGGTTTAGTCGTGAACGCACTTGTTTCATGACAGAGAGGGAATTTTTAAAATATCATATTTTGTATCTCCTGGCACTTGAGGCTCACTTTGGTGTAAATGAGTGCTAGTTGGTTCAGTTTTGATCGGACTGAGCTGAAACCTAGTTAGATAATTCGTACTAATTCATACACAATTAGTGATAGAGAGGGAATTTTAAAAACATCATGTTTTGTATCTCCTGGCA